ACACTTTATATAGATGTGTCTACAAAACATCTTAATGCCATAGCTAGAACAAACCACATTGTTGTCGTCTTCAAACTATCCCTTTTAAAATGTATTCTCTTGCATAGCAGAAAGAATTGATCAATGGCTTTGGACTACAATGAGTCAATATTTTAAAGCATAGCACAAATTAAGCTCTACAGACAAATATATAAACAGAAATGAATGAGACTGAGGCAATTCAGATGATCATAGAACTTAAATTAGTTATAGTTAAATTAGACATTCTATAGCTATCCGTAAATTTGGAAAACAACATCTGAAAATAAGAGAAGATGAAGATAACTATAGCACATCAATGGAGGTAACTCTAGGCGAAAAAGTATTAACACAAAAAAAAATAGTAAGAAAAGAATGGACAGTTTTATGCTTACTCTGCTAAATCTCTTTGAAGCTGATCAGCTTAATTTCCCAACGAAGAATTCCCTCACACAATCCAAACGCCCCACATGAGTAGCAAAATGAAGATGACTGCTCTCAAGGCATCAGCAACTGGGAAATTATGAGCTAAACCCTAACAAATATAAAGCATGAAATCTTATGTAAACGATCGAATCGAATACTAAGTTGTTACACATTTGTATTTGTTTAAAATTATTGAATTCAAATGCGGACTCTAATATTCATATATGGAGTTTCGAATTCGAACTCGAATTATGTGTGTCTTGAGCCAAGTTTAGGTTAAGAATTAACTTGTTTGTTGGAGGTTTTAACTTGTAATTCTGGTTGATTTTGGAATATGAATTATGAATATTATCAATTTTTAGTTTAGATTTTGGGATAGGTTTATTTTTAAATTGGATATGAATATGATCATTTCGTTCTTGGCAACAAGTAATGATAATTAATTCTCTTCTAACAATATTGTACATTCAATGACTAATTATCTCCGTCCTGATATAAAGACAGGAAAGTTCACTATTACTCTGTGTTTATGCTCTTGATTATCTGGGTTATTAATCTTATGTTTTTAACACGTAGTTATATTCGATACATCGACACGTTTGTTTTCTCTCTTTTCAGTATACGGACGCTCAGCGTCGCCGTTGAAGCTCGCACTCGCCCTCGACATTCCCTCGCTTGGAGCTTGCTTCGACATCTTCATCAGGCCTCATGACTTCGAACAAATTGAAAGCGTCAACGCCTTCGATTTCTTCAAAATTAAAGCCTTCCTCTTCTAAATGCAAAAATCCCCTAACGTCGTAAGTAAATTTTTTTTGAGATATAATGTTTGTTTTAATATGCGTCGAAAGTTGAAATTGCTGCCTCCGCCTACTGATGTCTGTGTCAACAAGTCATTGCTTGATGAGATATATCCTCTTGCATGAGATAATTAATGTGTGTGTTAATAAACTTGTAAAAATTATTATGATTATTGTCATATCGAGTATCTATTTAATTTTTAGGTATATTGTTTGTGTTAATATGCGTCTTAATTTGCCCAAAAATAAGTAATTTTTACCTATTTTTTAATTATAATTTTCTTGTAGGGCTATGATAACACAATTGAGACTTCCGTCCAATTTGTGTTATTTTCGAGATTTAATTGATAAGCGAATAATATTAGATGAAAGGCACATAAAAGCCCTAGAGACGATGCCTTTTCACAACTTCCTCAAGTTACCCACATCCTTGAGCAATGAGCAAATTGTAATTGATTGCTTGATTCAAAATTTTAATTCCGATACATGCTCATTCATGATTGGGAATAAAAATTGTGTGTTTGGTATAGATGATATTCACCGAATTACAGGTTTGCCAAAGGAAGGAATTTTGATAAAAATGAGTGGGACTGCGTCTAATACAATCTGCACCAATTTTGTAAAGAATTATAAGACACTCAAGGAGAAGAAGAGTAGTAGGTCTAAAGGCAAGAAGAAAGCCGATGAGAAAATAAAGGCGGTGATTTGGGGGAAGCGCGATAGAATGGCCGAGATGATTGTAGATATAAATAATGAAGACCCTATAATATATGTGAAACTTATTGTGGCTTTCATTATCGGCTTCATATTATGCCTGCGAACATGTAAGACATGTCCCTTATGGGCATTTAGATATGCGGAGCCGTTATCAACTTTGAAGAAATAATTAAATTCAAATTATCATCCATACATAATTAATCCATACAACCGCATTATCATCTATACAACCAAATCATCCATATGTACATAAACTTTAATTGAAATTATCATCCATACTTGATTAATCGATACAACCATATTATTAGCCATACATGATTAATCCATACAACCAAATCATCCATACGTACATAAACTTTAATTCAAATTTTCAACATTCTTCAGAAACACATGCTTTGTTTTGGCCCACCGTTAACTTTGTTTTGGCCCTCCGTTATCTTTCTCGACCACCACTTGCAACATTTTTCATCTACAAAAAAAATTACAACTTTAACATGACAAATGCATCTACAGGGAAAAAATATTAAATTAAGATTAAATATAATACCTTAGCTAAAGGACAACTCGTTATATAATGTCCTTTTCCCTTACAAAATCCACAAAATCTTTGTTTTTTTATACTCTTTTCTTGTGCTATCTCCATTCCGGACTTAATTCTAGTAGCTTGTGCTGGTCATCCCTTCGTGGCAATAGGCTTATCTGGATCACGAATAGTGATTTGAGTTGCTTCCTCTACAGAGTTGGGTATGGATGAAGTAGGCATCTTATTACTGGCATTGCTCTCATCACCATTGTCGTTATGTTCATTTTCTTTCTTGTATGTACCAACTTCTTCAAAAAATGAGTCTAAAAAAGCACTGAACTTATCATAAAGTGTACTTGAAGTTAATGTATCTTCTAGTGCCTTGTTACATCTACTCCTAAGGGCTCAATGTTTAATGATAGAGAGTTGGTCTTTACTATTTGAAATGTAATTTCTAACAACTCCGCAACCAACATGTCTTGCTTTAATTGTCCATCGTTGCATGCAACTCCGCAACCAACATGTCTTGCTTTAATTGTCCATCGTTGCATAATATATCTTGATGGAATTTCTAATACTTGCTTCTTTACTAAAATGTGCAAGCTATGTTTGCATAATATACCTTCCATCTCAAATTTCGCACAAGAGCACTTAATTCTTTTATCTTTGGATGCATCAAATTTCGCACAAGAGCACTTAATTCTTTTATCTTTGGATGCATCGAAATCAACATGATGCTTTACCCTCTTCTTGCTCTCAGCCTCACGATCTATATTCCAAACGGCATAAGTAGCACTTGTGCCGTCCTTCGACAACCTTTCATGAAGCATGGAGTAACTATCCTTGAGTTCTTTCTGAAAGATAGTAAACATATTCTTTGTATAATTCTCCCTAGCTTGTTTTTTAATGGGATGTTCAATTATCAATGTAGGAACTGAGTTTGGCTCGGCGAGCTTCAACAGCTTTATCATATTGCTTAACAAAATCATGTAACTCGGTATTTGCATTCACAAAATGATCAAAAAAGGCATTAATTCCCTCACTCCGCTGAGTAGATGTCATTCCTGCAGTAAATGTGTCTTTAAGATACACTGGAGCCCAATGATCTCGATGATTGTATAAATTTACTAACCAATTCCTTTTATCTGCACCATATTTATCCCGCTTTTCTTCCCAACACTTTACAAATTTTTCTTCTGATTTACTCCAATACCATTTGTTATACTTTATACCCACATCCTCACCATATTCATTATGCATTGATTGAATATTTTGTAAGGCATTCCTATGAAGGTGCCAAGAACAAAAGCGATGACGAGTTTGAGGAAAAACTTTGTGAATTGCACCACACATAGCTTTATCTTGATCAGTGATGATTGTTAATAGTGCTACACCCGACATACATTTTAACCATTAGCTAAATAACCATATAAATGTCTCCTCTGTTTCATCGGCCAGTAACGCACACCCAAATAGAGTAGATCGTCGATGATGGTTAACGCCCGTAAATGGTGCAAACAGTAATTTTAAATTGTTCGTTCTATATGTAACATGTCGATGATGGTTAACGCCCGTAAATGGTGCAAACAGTAATTTTAAATTGTTCGTTCTATATGTAACATCAAAGCAAACAACATCTCCAAATTGCAAGTAAGAAGTCCTCGACCTACCATCCATTCAAAAAACACTTCTCATCGTCCCATCATTTTCTAAATCAAGTGCGAAGTAAAATTGAGGATCAAATACCTTTTTCTCTTGAAATTGACGAACTATGCTCACACACTCATGATCAACATTATTTTTTCGTTTAATTCTAAGTTGTGCTTGGCATTCTTGTTGAGTGAGAGAGCCTTGCTCATTTCCATGAGCAACGTCAACAACCTTACAAATGGTAGAAGGCCGTAAACCTTGATTGTCAAGAGTATCATCAACCTTCTTGTCGATTGAGCTCGATGAAGTGTCTGATGTGAGTAGTGCTTCTTTACCCGATTTGGGGTGGTTAATGGATGACCATTATGATTAATGTTTAAATTTTGGACCACCCATTTTTCAGTGCTTCTATCGAGTACAATAACCATCCTTGCGTTGCATCCACATCTTGTATCGAACTTTCGAATTACATTCCGACCATCTTCTCATCTTGTATCGAACTTTCGAATTACATTCCGACCATCTTCTCTTTTATCTTTTAAAAATTTAAATCCTTGTCACATACATATATTCTAGATATGATTGCATCTTTCTTTCTCGACCAAGTTGTGTGACCCTTGCGAACACCAAATCTCTTTAGTCTGGCGTATGCATTGTAGAAATTATAAGCTTCCTCATGAGTAGCGAACTCCATTCCAATATATGGATCAACAACAAAATTACCTTCACCATTTTCAATGCCAATAGGCTCATCAACATTTGGCTCATGCTGAGATGCCTATAAAAATAGAGAAACAAAAATTATAAAACTCATTATAAAAGACAACTATTTTGGTATATGTCATTAGATAGTAGTACACTATAAACAATAAGATATTATCACCTGAGAGAAAAAACTTGTCGTAGATAGTAAACCATGGTCCTCGCCTTCAAGGTCAAGGGCTATATTTTTGTTTTCATCTTCAACCATTGTTGTATCACGTATCCCAATTATGGTTGCAAACTATCTGCAGTAGAAATAGAAAAGGACTAACATGTTATCTACAATCAGAATTATGGTTGCAAACTATCTGCAGTAGAAATAGAAAAGGACTAACATGTTATCTACAATCAGAATCAGAGGGGCCTTTCTGTTCTGATGCTTCCTTCTCCATATATATCAATTCTCATACTGAATTGAAGAAGTCAACAAGAAGCCAAATGTTAGTTTCCGCACTTGACTGTGCTTTTTTCCAATTTGTAGACTTTTAGTTGCAGAAATGAATGTAATCTTTTTTTTTTTAAAGAAAGATGCAAGCCTGTATTGAACCGTAGACTCCAAAATCCTAAACTACATTTTTACCACTAAGGTTGACATCCATGGTCTTATGTGAAAACTGTTGTTTTTTTTACATTGAGTTATCTTCGTATACACATTACCACTTACCTCCAGAATGAATAAATAAATAAATAAATAATAAAATAAAATAAGAAGTTAAAAAAAAGTGTTCATTTTCTAACAGATGAGCATTTTACTGAATAAATCTGCAGGCATGTGTATGAGTTAGTCTCAGAGATTAAAGAGCAGAGGTTCTCCTTTGATGCTCCAAATGAAGAGACTCACAATTTGCAAAATGATAAATCAACTGATGAGCAAATGGAGAGGTGGCGGCGTGATCCGACGCTGAAGTCAGGGCTGACGGACGGTGGATGTCGAGGACTGACAGACGGCGGATGTCGAGGGCGAGGCGGCGATGCTGAGCGGATGTCGAGGGCTGACTCACGGCGGATGTCGATGGCGGATGTCCGATCGGCTGAGCGACGTTGATCGTGGACTGACGGAGACCGCGGATCTTTGTCGAGGGCCAAGGCGGCGACGCTGAGCGGACGTTAATCGTGATTTTTTTGGGCGAGGTCGAGGAGACGAAGAAGAAGATCGGAGGTTTTTTGGCGAACGTCGAGCGTGATTTTTACGAAGAAGAAGATCGGGGGTTTTTTTGGGCGTGATTTTTTTTTGGGCTAAACACGGCGGATGTTATCAATAGGGCTGTGGGTTTTTTTAGAAATTTGTTTTTTTTTGTTAACTGTTTTAGATCAATGGCTGAGATTATTTTGGGGTTTTTGTATTCAATGGCTGAGATTGCGCATCCTTAGGCTACACCTAGGGAGTCACATTAGATTCACTTTACCCTATATATATACATATATATATGTATATGTATATATGTACATATACATATACATATATACATATATATATATACATATACATATACATATACATATACATATACATATACATATACATAATATCACTTGCTATCTTTAGCATTCTCTGCATTAAACCGCCCCAATTTATGCTGAAGATCCACAAGAGGACCACTTACTACCTTTGCCTTTGAACTCTTTTTTAAGTCAATAAACTTTAAGGGTACTTTTTTGAAACTTTTAAATTTATAGATTTTCAAAGTCCTATTTGTATCTTTGAATTTTTTTACAGGACCTTTATTCTGATTCGTGGGTGGATCCTCTTGACTGAATTGCTAACCAGAGTTGCATACTTTCTTTTGAGTGTCATTGCCTTTGTAAATGTCTTCAGCTTGTTCACACAACCGCTATCTATACCCAAATTAAGTGGACATTATTAGAATATATTGTTTTTCCAAAAATAAATGTTTAGGTTCAATATCTTTTATTTCTTTTTAACTAAGTAGAAATCTTGATCTAATTTATATATCAGTTAAAATATTTTAATCAAGTGCGATGAGTGTACTCAAGTCTGTTTTTGTATCCCAATTAGAAAAAGTGGGATGGGCGAGCTCAAGTTTGTTTTTTATATCCCAACTAAAACAATGGGATCACATTTTTCCTATAGGGCAAGGAGCTTCGACTTGATCTTATCCATTAAAACTTTCCTCAATACTAAATTTATCCTTCCATGAAAATACCTATTATACGAATGAACATGTTCATCAATAATTATAACAAACTGTGAAGTAATTTAAAGTTCATGACAAAGTCCTGTATATGAAGAATAGATATGGAGAATAGATATGGAGCAAGTAGTAAATGAACATTTTTTACTTCTTTGTTTTATTTCTTATCTTATAATTATTTTTTTCTTATAACTTAATGATATGTGAGGGCAATCTCACTGGTCACTTTCTTGGCATCTTGAGTTTTTCCTGCCCTTGCATTTCACAACACCCGTGATTAAGAATGTATGTTAGCACCATAATGCAAGTAACTTGTTCAAAAAGAAATGCTTAGATAATATCATAATGGTGTGCTCTATCATGTTGTATTTCAAGATAATATTGGATATACTACACATTTGATGTTGGCAATAACTGAAAATAGTTATTGCTTATTCTAGGAATATTTGATCTATAGAACCATGTTGATGGATATCAGACTTTGAAGTTGAAGGTAAAACTTCCTCGTCAGATGTCCATATAGTGTGTTTGTGATTCTTTAGCATGCATTGAAAGTAGATAAAGAGACTCATTTCCACAGCAAGGCTTTCCATGTGACGCATCAACTTTCTCTGTATGAAGCCTCTAGTACACTGTGAACATTATTAGCAGGCTTTAATGATAAATTAATATAGATTATACCTCATCTAGTACAATCAATTGCATCTTCTGAAGTATACCTTTACATGGTATTTCACATATGCATTGAATTTCAGTAAAATCCAAATAGCCTTGTCTGCTCTTGAACCTTTAATATGTTGAGGAAGAATCTCTGCAGAGTTGGTAATCAAAGCTCTATTAGATTGAACTTACACTCCACAAATTACATTCTGTGTTACACTTTAACATGGATGAAATTATCAGAAGGCCAGATGCACCGTAGGTATTCAGTATGTTTCTGCCTAAAGCTACAGTTTGATTGCTTATTGTTTCTGGAACTGGAAATATATGTTAGCTGTAAGGAAAGTAAACATAACTCTTGCTATTTAAAATTAAAATCACTTTGGAGGCATGTTACCTGAAAGAATGAGATTGCAAGCACTACATCTGAATCCTCTGTAAAACACATGGGAAATATGACATTTATCTTAATTAAAGTTATAGTTACATGATTCTGCGTTAAATCCATCAATAATTGATATTTGAATATCTATGAGCCATATTCTAAATTATTATTACTTTATTTTTCTAAAATTATTTTTATAGGTGTTTACACTTTTAATTATGATATTTCATTTCCTTTCAAACGTTAATTCTTAGTATTTTTCTCATACAAATTTCCAAACACGCAGATATAAGAAGGATATGCTAGCCCCAAGCTCATGGCATTAGAAGCTTTACTAAACCTTTGCAATACCTAGTGTGTGAGTACATATATTCACGCATGAAAATTTCAATCACAGTAAAAAATTAATTCCCAAAAAAACTATTCATGCAATACCTAATGTGTGAGTACATATATTCATGTGCTTCTTACCAAAAAATAAGCCTTCCGAAACACCCTCATACAATATGCAACATTATTAACAATGTCCACATTAAAAAAAAGAAAAGGAAATGCATAGTTAGACATCGGATAAGAAACGTACAATAGTGAAGCTTCCGCTCTTCTTAATAGCTAACAGTTTTGAAGAAATGGCATCAGGTAGTGTCGTAACCGCCCATAAAAATCTAATAATTCTATAAGAAATTACTTAAACCCCTAGCTTCTTTGCTGGGAAGGTATAATCCCCAAAACCTTCAATTAAAACATTTTAATGCTTGTCACATCTATTCTCAGATCCAACTTCCACTAAATTTGAACTTTGAAATTCAGTAATAGTTTTATCAACAATGAGAACAAAATTAGCACTTTGTGGTTCAAAATTACTGGGGTAGGAAGTTTAACAGGAACACCGATTAAAGTTATTGAAATAGACATTAAGGCTCACATTGATAAATAAAAAAGCCAAGCATGCCTACTCTCTATGAGCTCTCTCATATTGCCAATAAAGATTATAAATTGCTAGCCTTAATTCTCCAACCATATAACGTGCAGGAAATTATAACGCTTAAATACTTAGAGCATTAAATCACATATGAATTCTATATAAAATTTTCAACTACAAACATAATATGTTTTTATCCACTCAAAAAATTAAGCAAGTGCACTCGTACCTCAACATTAAGAATGTTCACTTTTACGCAATTACACATGAATATTTTTTTTTCTCGTCATTGCTTTTGAACCCCTTTCATGCAATTACACACGAATATTTCATTTTTCTTGTTAATGCTTTTGGACAAAATACATCACACAGTCTGCTCATAGAATAGTGCAAGCCTAAAATCTAAAGCTAATATAGAAAACAAGTTCAGTTTCTGGCTAAAAGCGCTTTATCTCCTCTTCTACCTTCAGTTACTTTTCTTGTAATCAAGTTCTATAATTTTGTTGGCTGTTGGCAGTAGCTCATTTGCATACTTGTCCTTTGCTGCCTCATACACTATGATCCCTTCAAAGCATTCAAAGCTCGTTTTGAATATATGAGAAAAAAACTTTCATGTATTACCACTTTTTGCCAATCAAATACATTTTCACCAATCTAGATTCTTTATAAAAATGAGAATAGTCACTACTGACACTAATCAAAGCACAAGACAACTAATATAGTTAGCATATGCAGATAGTCATATGCCAATCAAATATATTTTCATAAAAGCCTTTACCACTTTTTGCCAATTAAATATATTTTCATAACATCTAGATGCTATGAAAAAATGACTACAATTAACCCATCAATCAAATATATATTCATAACATTTGGATTTTGCCAAAAAATTGCAATAACTAACCAGGTTACAATAATTAGAGCGTAATTAATTGGAAAAAGAAAAGAAGTAAAAATCTTAACATGGAAAGTGCATCAACAAATATAGGCAATATATGGAGATCATCATGTCTCTTCATGGAAGTAAGTATATAAAAGGACTAATAAAAAGATCTTATATCTCATAATCATACAGCATATCAAAGCCTTATAAAAAATTTACAACAGTATCACATCAATCAGTGTAGGCAATATATTCCATGTATATATGCAGATCATTAACATGGGCTATCAAGCATATGCAGGCAATTAGTCCTACATGATGTCATTGTCTCACATTATTAAAAATAGAAATCTGATAAAAATTATTTGGGAAGCTAAAAAATAAAATATGTTTAATATATGTAACACAAAACATAGAAAGTTTGCACCTAATTTCATTAAAATTACCAATAAAGTATCATACATTGTATCTACTAAAAAAGGGATAAACTCTCTCATGAACACATGTATCACAATTATCAATGAAGATATTATCTTCTGAGTTACAATCCAGTTGTCTACTGACACATGACAAATCTGAAGTCAGACATGAGAACTTGAAGTTTTCTAGAGCATAACTATTAAGTGCTAGTTTGATAACAGAGGGCTGCAATAGCCATAGTTTGCCAACATGTCCATGCAGCAATCAAATCCACCAGAACAAAATGGATAACACCATAAAGCGGTTTTTTTAGCTATATCACAAGTTCATAGAAAGGAATGGTGACATACCTGGGTGTATATCAACAGCAAAAACCTAAAAAAGGAGCACAAGGTCAAACCACAACATGGATAGCAGAACTATGTTGAAGTGATGCTATGCATTGCCAAAAAAATAAATAAAACTAATCACGTCACTAATTCGACTTTGCAATTCTAATGCCAATACTTTACATCCCTGATTCCACAATGAATGAGCTACACAATATGACTGAAGTGAATGGTACCCTGCTATCCAAGTTCATA